GATTTGAGAAACATTAAAAAAAATGTTTGAAGAGGAAGATTTTATAAATATCAACCGAATGCAGTCCTGGCTATTCGGTCAATAAATGCCAAATATCTCCGTGTAAGGAAACGACTATTGTTACCCATACCATTAACATTTCTGTAAATCTGTATCTGTAATCCCTCCTTCATCCCGTTTCGGCCTCCATTCACAAAAGCTGGTTATGTAAGTGGTTCGCTGTCTCATTCCGTCCCTTTTACATTCGATGTATCCTTTGAATACCAAATCGTTCAAGCCAGCTTTTCTCATTTAGTACCCTAGACATTCCAACTGTCCCTTTCTGATTCAAATTGTCCTTTTCGTTTCAATTTTCATTAAACACACCATCTGTTCAGTTCATGTTATTATCAGTAGAGACGCATTTCCGTTTTCACAAGACTCTTCTTCATCAGTGGATATTGTCCAGCATTAAAAAGAGAAATTATATTGCCAAATATATGAGCACCCTTTTCTTATTTTCTAACGAATTTTTTCTGTTTTTTAATACTTTGCTTAGGAAGAATTATTTTTATATTTCTTTGCTTAGGAAGGCATCTCTCTCTATTCCTTTGTTTAGAAAGGCATAATTCTCTATTCCTTTGCTAAGGAAGGCATATTTCTCTGTTTCTTTAATTATGAAGACATATTTCTGTATTCCTTTGCTTAGGAAGGCACATTTCTCTATTTCTTTGCTTAGGAAGACATATTTCTCTGTTCCCTTGTTTAGGAGGACATATTTCGCTATTCCTTTGATTAGAAAGGCATATTTCTTTATTCCTTTGCTTAGGAAGGCATACTTCTCCATTTCTTTGCTTAGGAGGAAATATTTTACTATTCTTTTGCTTAGGAAGAAATATTTCTCTGTTTCTTTGCTTAGGAAGGCATATTTCTCTATTTCTTTGCTTGGGAGAACATATTTCTCTATGTCTTTGCTTAGGAGGACATATTTCTATATTCCATTGCTTAGGAAGTCATATATTTTTATTGCTTTGCTTAGGAAGGCATATTTCTCTATTCCTTTGCTTAGGAAGGCATATTTTTCTGTTCCTTTGCCTAGGAAGGCATATTTCTCTGTTACTTTGCTCGGGAAGTCATATTCCTCTATTCCATTTCAGCTTCGGATTTCGTTGCCACGTTTTCCGTCCTGTGTTACAACATTTCCTAGGTATTTACATGTTCGTATTTCTTTCATTTTGGTGTCTTTATATCATAAATTCCTTCTTCTAACAGAAAGAATGCTGACTAAACCTCGTATTTAATGTATCTAATATTATCAAATATTTATCGGCGTGCACTCTGCTGAAGATACCATAGTGCACGACAAAGCTTACACCGGATTATGTATTAATCGCCGAAGTATTGAACACCATACAAATTATCGAATCTCCAATTATGGATGTCACAATCTCAAGTGCACATGGCGCAGTGAATAAAGGCGTTGGTTAGATCTACTGACTGCACACAAATAATGTGAGTTCAATACCCGGCTACGGCAGTGGGGCACTCGGAGAGCGGAATTAACAGGAGTTAACTGATAACTGACATCCATTAAACATGGCATGTGGAACTAGAACATTCTACCCCAATGATGGAAATGAATGGTTTAGTTCGACATTCTAACCATCTGAAGAAGGCCGGAGCGTACAACGGCCGGAGTGTTGTAATAAATATGGCGACAAAGATGAAAACATTAGTCCGAATAAGGTTATTAGTGTACATAATACCTCATCTTAGAAATATAGACAGATACTGACTGTATTGAATTGGGAAAAGAAACGGATACCCAATTATTGACGACCTTTTGTCATACATGTTCTCTTTGCGTTAGTTCTTGTTTTCAGTCCTTTTTTCCATCCTTATATCTCTCATTTTCTAAGCTCTTTAATTTTTATCAATCCCAGTGTTGTTTTAAATTCACCTATCTGTCTTGAGTGTTTAGATTCCATTTCTCTTTTCTCAGAATTGTATTTTTGTTTTTTATTTTGATTCATTTCTTTGCTTACATTTCTCCCAAATTACCCACAATGCATTCAAATACGACGCACTCAAGAATAGTTAATCTGCCATCTATGTTGAACTAGTTTCTTACTCCGTGTATATCGTTTCGCATTTCTCAAGAATGCTACCATAATTGTCCCCACGAACCAAAATAGCCAGCAATAAATACAACCATCTATCAGAACGCCATCCCGAATGACACAGTCGTATTTTTAAAATACACGGTTCCCAAATGTATATGAGACCAACGCTGAGATAAAAACGTCGTCAAACAATGTTTATTCCTGGAGAATTATTGTCGGCAAATTCCAGTGATTTCGTCACAAATAAATAACCAATCACAAAGCAAGGTAACTCTGATCGGCCTGGATGGACGATAAGGCTATAAAGTAAAAGAGGCTGGAAGTGATATGTTTCTTTTAAATAGAAACAGAATTCGCATTAAAATTACGATGACTTCTGCTGGAGGCAAACTGCTTGCAAGCGAACAGAGAAAAAGTTCGATGAATTCTCCCACCCAAAATAGAAAGATGAGTAGGTCAAAGATACATCTTCTCTGCGGATTATTTAGCGCGTGCAGTGAGACGATACCAACAGAACGGAATTATTTTGACGGACATAATGTTAAAAACAGAGAGCACTGAGGCAGATTTCAAACTGAAAGTATTCCGAGATAAAGTAATAAAAGGAAGCAAGAAGAAAGGACTAAATGATACAAAACAGAATTTATGGTCATTAGCAAGTTAGAAAAATTGATGGATTTCGATTTAAGCCCTATCAATTAATTTACTTTAATCCAGATAATATTTTTATGTAGTGAGAATTTTTTTGTGAATATAATTATTTACTAATATAAGACATACTAATTAACCAATATCTGGGGGAAGAACAGGCGGATTCACACACACACACACACACACACACACACACACACACATATATATATATATATATATATATATATATATATATATATATATATATATAGATAGATAGATAGATAGATAGATAGATAGATAGATAGATAGATAAATAAACCTAGTGAGCCAGACAAACCTACCCAGGTTTCACCTAAGCGGATCGTCAGGGAAACCTGGTTTGTCTGGCTCATTAGGTTTATCTAGGTCTGCTCTACGGTTGTATTGAGCTCTTTTGTTAGTTAGTTGTTTACTCGTGTAGGGTTTTTTTTCTTTGGGCTTTGAACCTGTATCTGTGCGATAGTTTTCGACAGACTTTCATGTTTCTAGCTCTTTCTTTTTTTAAAACCTTTTTTTCTCCGTTGTTTATTGGCAAATCAAGAATTCGAAGGTTTTCAAACGAGTATAGTTATATATATATATATATATATATATATATATATATATATATATATATATATATATATATATATATACAAAGGTTATTTGCGCTTATGTGAATATAAGAAACCCAACTGGAATTTGAACTCGGCTTTCCAATTTTGAATTCAGAATTCATTACACCACGTGTACACCCAATCTTACAGAACCTATCATTAACCAGCCTCGACGTTGCTTAACCTCTGTGATCGTACAAGAACCGGTTTGTCAACGTGATATTATCGTAAGCCTGTAAAATAGAAAGTACAAGCCTTAAATCCTATAGTTGGGACGTCAAGAAAACAACTATTTTGGGGATATATGGCGTTATTCTTACATACTTGCATACATACATGACTCTTCCAAGGCTATGTTGCCATCCAAGGTTATAGAACCTGGTCTGTCCTGCTATATACCCATAGCTGGGGGAAAAAAGAAATTCATAGCTCTCCCAATGTTATTAGCACGTAAGTGAATATAATGGAATTAACTGGAATTCTAACTCGGCTTTCCGATTCCTTAATCCGAGTAGCTATGCATTACTCTACCGTGCTTCTAAGTCAATACAGCTAATCCATAATTGCTCTTTACATAGACCAGATAAATCATGTATAGTGATAATATCATATCAACTTCTACTTAATAGTTGTGTCAGACTAGCGATTTATTTAGTCTCTGTTATACGCATTCGTGCATCCATACATGTCCAAAGAGCAGGGTTAAAACAGAGACTAACATAATTTAGTACTAAAGAAATACAAATATGCATATGTTCCCACCACTAAATATACGTAATCCTCGAAATTCAGAGATAACTGCAGTCCCATCAGAAACATTCTTCGGAGACCGTGAGCTCAGGAAGTCTCAAGACTTATACAATATCTTTAACTTAAGAAAATAAGGGGCCCAAACAAACCCAGTTCTCTTTAAGACTATCACTCGAATTATCGCCTGCCTTTACGAAATAGTTTCACCGCTGCTTGAATAATAAATCCCTCCCAAGTCTGTGTCAAGAGTGTGTCCTGTTTTCAGGAACGCGTTGAGCTCTCATCCATAAAATTAGACCCCTCTGTCTATTCAGTATCATTAGCAAATATTTTGATGCTATAGTCAATAAGAAAACATATTAAAATATCTTGTCAACTGTTTACTGTCTGTCAAACTCTCTTTGCTCATTTTGCTCAAAATTTAGCCAAAATAATCAGTTATTATTTCTCTTACCTACAGTGAAGATGTTTCTTAAAGACACATATTTCTTTGATGTTCTGTTAGGTACTTCCAGCATATTCAACACGTTAATTAAAAGAAAACCTCTACCCGTTTATTGAAAAAACTACCCGAAGATAAAGAAACTGATTGATTTCAATGTTCATTGAAATACAGAAAGATGCATTCCAAAACTTAAATAATGTCTTCAGAAACAGAACAATTTCTTTGAAAACAAAGAAATGCGTGCTAAAATATGAATGTAATATTGGCGTTCTCATAGGGAAAAGAAAACTGAAGAATGTCAAAGACAAAATTGAGTAACCAAATAGATGCGATCGTTTGAATGGATGACGGAGGAGTGTGAGGAATATGCCAATGGGACAGATGTTGGTAAGAGTTACAAGTGATATGGACTTCTGGAGAACGATGAAGACATCAGCGAGGAAGAAGGAGAAGAGAGCAACGATAAAGAAGATAGGGGCGAGAAGAAGAAGAAGAAGAAGAAGAAGAAGATGAAGAAGAAGAAGAGGTGGAGGAGTAGGAAGACAATGAAGAGGAAGACACAAACAGCAAAGAAGAAGAACAGTAACGTAAAAGAAGAAGAAGAAGAAGACAGCAACGAAGAAGAAGTTGAGGAAGACAGCGACGAGAAGAATTAAACGGCAACAAATAAGAAAAATACAGCAACGAAGAAGAAGAAGAAGAAGAAGAAGAAGAAGAAGAAGAAGAAGAAGAAAGAGGAGAGGAACGAAGAAGAAGAGGAATAAAAAAGAAAAAAGACAGGAACGAAGAAGAAGAAGAAGAAGAAAAGGAGGAGGAGGTATAAAGCAGCAACGAAGAAGAAGTGAGGGAAGACAGCAACAAAGAAGAAACAAACGTTAAAAAATAAGAAAAATAAAAAAAAACCTATGACGAAGAAGAAGAATGCAATGTAGAAGAAACATGGCAACGAATAAGAAACAAATGTCAACAAAGAAGAAAAAGTAGAAGCAGAAGACACCAAGGAAGAAGAGGAAAACAACAAGAACGAAAACGAAGTTGTAGAATACAACAACGAAGACAAATCAATCAGTAAAGAAGAAGACAGGAAACAAAAAGAAAAAAAGGCAATGAAGAAGGAGAAGAAGACAGCAACAAGGAATAAGCCCGCAATGAATAAGAAGAAAAAGAAGACTGCAACGAAGAAGAAACAAGTAAAGAAGAAGATAGCAAACAAGTAGAAAAAAGCGACAACGACGGCGACGAAGAAAAAGTAAAATTAATATATAAATATTCTATAGAATCTTTTTTTAAAGATTATTGGAAGTAATTTTCAGTTCATTTACTTAACTCGCGGCTAACTCTGTACCAGTAATAATACAATCTATTTTGTCTATAAGTACTTTTACTTAGAGAATTTCTTTATTCAGTTGGCAGTGGCTGTGATGTTAGCAGTGACTAACAAAGTTTGGTAAAATAATACTTAGGTAATGAACGCCCAATTTTGAAGGAGAAATTTGTGCACTTGTCAATAATGGTTAAGAATTCGATATATCAAACATTCAATATGTCGGTCTCACACAAAGAAAGCTAGTTGCCTGTGTCTGTTCAGCTGTATTTATCCAGCAAATGGTCACGTTTTAAACAGGGAGCCTTAGCTTACAATACTTATGTACTTGGTGAACAATTCAAATCGATAACCCCCATAAATGGTGTTGGCCTCAACGACAGACGGTAAGAGTACAAAACGACGCCCCCGTCACACGCAAGAAAAAAAAATGTAATGGTCATTTGAGACATCAGACACCATCAAATGAAAGCGAATATCGTTCACAAATATTGGTAGAATGATTACAATCTTCTGGGTGAGAACTCTGTAGACTCTAAAGTAATTACCAATTCCAGACATTCAAAGTGTTAGCATGTCGCACAAGAAAGAACTTCAAAGATCTCATCTTATTTTCCAAAAAGTATCCAGTTGAATAAAAACGATAATTTTAAAGGGAATCACATTTTGAACAACCTGATAACTTCTAATATGCACACACACACACACACACACACACACACACACACACACACACACACGTGTGTGTGTGTGTGTGTGTGTGTATGTATACACCCTTGTGCAAATTAACTGGACAAAAGGAATAATCCTGTTATTAAATACTTTACTTTTTTTCACATCTTTCGAAACAAGTATGACTCAGTTAGTACTTCGTATTTTCGTAAGCTTCCTCGAAGTAATGGCCATCGCAGATAATGGCCGTAGGACAACGAATCGACAATCGATACAATAGTGTTTGGGAGTGATGAAAATCTGATGCAATCACGGATGATGCAATATTTTTCAATGCAAAAAAAATATCATCATACACGCCGAAAATAGATTCCTATTACTGCACACTATTGCAAATGATCTAATCTGAGAAAAATAGAAATAAAGGGTGTTCCAATAATTGGGACCGATTTTAAATGTGAATTAATTTTAAGCGTCTAGTGATTTTTTTTTCTCTTTCAGATTTGCCGGAAATTTGAGCAATATTATTTTTTACCCGTACCTGCCATGACGTAAATAACGTGATCCAATAGGGAAATAAATAAATTTTCACCAATAACACTGATTTATTTACTGCTGACTTTGATCCGTCTTAATGAAACACCCTTATATATAATCCGTCTTAATGAAACAACCTATATGTATATGTGTGTGTGTGAGAGTTTGTGTGTATGTGTGTGCGTGTTTGTGTGTTGCTGTGTGTTTTTTACAGACAGTACTGTTTCGCTGTATCACAGCTCTTCATTGCGATTAGACAACCGATTTGATTATATATATATATATATATATATATATATATATATATATATATATATATATATACAAATATATACTGAAAATTAGACCCAATATAACATGGAAACTATTTTTAACTTCTACAAGAGAAGTTCCATTGTCTGACTACAAAAAATGTACAAGGTGATGTTATTTCCATGGGTTCAGTTCTGGGTCCAGATTTTAGTAGCAGTTTTATGTCCCACCTTGAAAAATAACATATTTAGTAATTTTAAAAACCTTTCATCTACCTAAGGTATGCTGACGTTATCCTCATCTTCGTAAAAAATAACTGACGAAATACATGAACTACAACAATAATTCAAAAAAACCCTCTCCTTAAATTCATATATGAACTTAATTATAATAAAATTTCTTTTTCTTGATATAGTGATAGACACCAATTATAATATATTCACTACCTCCTCCTATAAAAAAAACAGCTAGCATAGACTCATCCAATCTTAATTATACGATCGCTTGCTCTCTTAGAAAATAACAATTATCCAAATTTTATTGAACAATGCTAACGTTAAACCCTTCACAAAAACATTTTCTACAATCTCTTATGAATAATGATTTTCCTAACTAAATTGTTGATTAAAGAATAAGGGGATTTATTAGAAATTTTAATATAAATCAAGTGCAACGTAATACTTCTTCAAATAACCGTAAATGCGTAATCATTTATCTCGTAATTAGTTGCATTCTGAATATAAACAAAATGCAAAAACACTAAAAACATTATAAATACTATGTTCCCCATAGATACCAGTAAAAGAATAAAATTTATTATACACTATCCTAAATTAATACAGTGAACTTAATCATCCGTAATAACTCCTTCACACCAATTAACGTATTGCAGAAAAACCAACATTATATCAATTTAAATGCCTCTCTGACAAAAAAAAGCGAATATGTAGGTTGGTTATTCTGCAACTATGTTATTAATGTCTCATTCTACACATGATTGATTCCTCTTCCATTGCACAACATCTGCAAAAACATTCCACTCCACTTTAAAAATTAGAAGAATATTAATCGACAGTACCTGTATACTTCACGTCGAACGTAAAAAGCGCAAACTTCAAATTGTTGAAGTATCTTTATTAAATATTAAAACCAACACTTAACAAAATAATTCATGAATATAATACAAATAGTATGAAATGTGTATAGTATATTGTTCTTTAGAAATATCTACTTTAAAACTAAATAGTTTTTATTTTTTTAAAAAGCAAATTACAACATTCTTGGAAAAATTCAATTTTTAACTAAGTTACCTGCCTTACACAAGAATTTTACAACATGGAAAAAAAATTTAAATCGCCGTTTGTTACTTTGGGCATGACTGGATCTCTTAATGGTTAAAATTTACTTCGTACAAACATAATTATTTGTCTCAGCCATAATAACTCTAAAGATGATAATGGAATTGATAGAAATACGGGAAAAATTAATATGTATATATATATATATATATATATATATATATATATATATATATATTTTCCTTTAAAATATATATTGTTAGTACTTTTACTATAAAATGTTTTGTTGGTCCTTTTTATATAATCATTGATGGTAGTTTTGCTATAGAATGTATTTTTATAAAAAATTCATTGCTGGTAATTTTGTAATAGAATGTATTTTTATATAAAAATTCATTCCTGGTAGATTTTCTATAGTATGTATGTTTATATAAAAATTCATTGCTGGTATTTTTGCTATATTATGTATTTTTATATACAGTAAATTGAATTGAGTTCTCCGAGCCGGTGACGCATTTCGTATAGAGAAAAACGTTAAAATTCCTTTCCTTTCTGCCGTGCATCAACGCCTAGATTTAAGATATTTCAATCATATAAGTTGATATCAACTTATATGATTGAAATATATGTTTTTATTGATATTGAAATATATGACTGAAATATATGTTTTATTGATATTTGAGGTTTTGGAATCTGCGTTTGTTAATATATCAAATAATATTAGTTTTAAACATTTTTATCTTTATATATTTGCTCGCTTAAGTTATATTTTAATAAGTGGTCAGCATTTGTTTAATGACACTTTCAGTCTTAAATATTTATTTATCGGTTGTGGTATCTGATTGTCTAGGTCAATGTCTGTGGATGTGTGTACATGTATTTATTGGTGTCTATGTGTATGGAAAGTGCATTCACTTTTAATTGTGTATGTATGTATGTGTTGTTTTCCCCAATATTTTTTTTTCATAAAGGGCCGTGGAGATGTTCCCTGTCTCGTCAATTTTTGTGTGTGTATATATATCTAAATATGTCTTGGTGATTATGTATTATAATCTGATTGTGTTTGTGTTGTTTTACGCGTGAGTTTAGGACCCCATTCACACACTTGGGATTAAAATGTATACATATATATTATCGGATGCCCGGATAAAGTAGCGTCTGTTCTAACGTAATTTCAACGAACAAATAAATTGAATAACATATATATGTCTTCTTTTTTCCTCAGTAATTTTATAATTTTTAAACTTAATAGTGTTTAAATTTGGATTTTAAAATTGGCAATTTTTAATTTTAATATCAAATTTTATCATAGAATTTAGTAATTGTTGGTTAGAATAAATTGTTTTTAAATATTACCCGTATTTTAAAGATTGAAATAGCTATTATAACATGACTTTGTTGTCAAGCTTTTTGAATTTTCCTATACTTGTATTTTGATTGATCATTCTAGCTTTCGTAACAGCGTTTTACCCTTGCGAAGGATCGTTAATTAATTTGAAACTTTTAAAACCATTATTTTACATTCAACATTATCACTTGATAAAACACCAGGGGTGTTAAAACAAAATGGCTATTTTTGTAGTGATTTCATAACATATTTCTGTTATAATTTTTTTACTTTTTTAAATAATTATATATATATATATATATATATATATATATATATATATATATATATATATATATATATATGTATGTATGTATGTATGTATATCCCATGGAATTCCGTTTGAGCTCTCTATGGAAAGGAGTTATTTAAAACAAAAAACAGCGGATCCTACTGCTATTAAGCAATACTCTTCAAGGAAATTGAATTGAGTTCTCCGAGCGGCTGGCGTATTACGTATATAGAAAAACGTTAAAATTCCCTTGCTTTTTGCCGTGCGACAATGGTCTAGAGGTAAGATAACTGGTTAACATCAAGTCAATGAAATTTCTATTTCGGCTTGAAGCAATCGGGCAACTAGCCACGCTGAGGAGCTGTGATACGGCGAGACAGTCTGTCTGAAGATGATTTTATATATATATATATATATATATATATATATATATATATATATATATATATATATTTATATTTCTTTGTAAATATTATCCGAATGTCAGTAATTTGAAAACAAATAGTATGTTATTTTGGGGTTAAAATAAAGTATTCTGATTTATTTTCACTTATGAAATTTAGTTTTCACGCCAGTCTAATTTTATCCCTCTGTGAATAGTTCTTTTTCAACAATCCTCACCTGAATCTACCTTCTTCAACAACTTGTGCGATGAATTCTGTCAGCCAATATGACAGTGATAGGAATATATGTACATGTATGTGTGTGTGGCTGGGGTGTAATCACTCAAGATGTTAAAAAGGGTTAAAATGAATTCCTTCTTTGCGCTTATGGTGTTGTCAAGACAACAACACCTATCACTATGTAGATACAGGAGCCTTTCCTTTGAGTGGAAGAGCCACAGTGGAACGGATCCAAAGGTTTTGGCGATGTAACAGTTTCAATGTAGATGTATAATGATAAATTACATCCGCGGTCAAGGCCTCTGATCTGTAGATTGTTGGCCTTGAGAAGCGTAGAACTATCACTGCATTGCTGTTGTTCCCCGGCCTACACTGATCCGGCTAGCACTTTTTAGGGTCCCAGCTGTGGGCAAATAGTGACTCACAATCAAAAAAAAGTACA